GAACTAGATAATTTAAAGAAGAATTTAGAAGAATATGAAAAGAAGGTACAAGAATTAAATGGTTTGTGATGCTTGTTGACACATATAAAAGATAAATTTTGTCTAACATTTGCAGAAGAGGTAGTTGATTTGGATCCAGGAATATTTGAATCAGCTATTTATTCGGCTATACAGATTAACCAGTTTAAACGTATACTAAATTCGTTTTCTGATAATAATGCATAAATATCTTATTTGCATTAATTTTTCTTGTTGAAATTTTATTGCAACTGCAAGATGATCATTGTATTATTTGTTAGGAGTAATATTACATTATATGTGGTTATGTTATTTGTACAAGAACAAATGGTTTCACTCTCGTAATATGTTATGGGGAATACTTTTATACTAATAACGTTAAATTCTAAGCAATAGAGGTCAAAATATTATAAAATCGGAGAATTTATGCTTTTCTCTCAAAACCAAAAGAAAGGAATAAACACCTCAAATGTTCTAATGGAAAGAAATACAAAGAAGAATATATGGTATTGTTATTCGAATGGAAGCATTATAGATTAATAAACCCAATTCACGGGTATCCACTGAGGAGCCGTTTGAAATCCATCAATTGCTTTTTTCAATTGTAAAATTGTATCTTCAATGTCGTTATTAACGATTTTTAAATCAAAGAAGTGTCCATAATGTTGTTCAAGTAGCTCACTCTCACGCGAAAGCCGTTCAAGACTACCATCCTACAACCGCAAAAAATAACACAGACATTAATTTGATAATCTACAATTATTATAACACCTAGCACTCCCTCAGCTGATGAAGAGGATGAATTTAATAATAATACATTTTTATAGCAATAAAGGATTATACTTGGTAAAATAATCATATTTACGTTGGGATTGTGTACGTCTGTGGTCATTGCGCTAAGCGATGGAGCTGCGATGAAGATAACGCATGGAGCAAACTCTGCTGTTCGCAGCACTTTAAGTGCTTGTGGTTCTACATCTAAAATGGCCATTAGTCCAGCAGCATGTATCTGTCGGATCGTATCTAATTTGGTGCCATACATTGCTTCTTCGTGAGTCCCATACTCAAGATACTCATTATTTGCTATATCTTTCATCATTTCTTCATGCGTAACAAAGTAGTAATTCTTTCCATTTATTTCGTCTTTTCGTGGAACACGAGTAGTATCTAAAATTAAGGATAAACACGTGAAGTTGATATTAACAAATAGTTAAACTCAGCTGCTTATATATAACGTACGAGGTACCGGATAGGCAAATTTATCTTGAGCTGACTGTATTAAACAATTTTTAATATGACGACGCCCAACCCCATGTGCGCCAAGGAGCACCAACGTACGCCTACGAAAGTGTGGCAAACGAACAACTTCTTCATATGTTAGCAGATCTAACTGGTCAAATACAGCAGCGTGCTTAGCTCGATATTTATCCTTTGCATTACGTTTCTTGCGGCCGAGCCAAGCGCCACATTGTACTGCTGAATGATCGCTTCTGGAACGTTCAACTGCCCTGGTTGCAGTTCGCCATTCCTGCAACTCTGGACTTGGAATCAAACCAGCTGAACTGCTTGGATCAGAGCTCCAGAGGCGTGCCTATTATTTAAAATAATGAGTAAAATATCAAGTACATTATTAAAATAATACTTGTAAAAAATGAATGATCTTGGTTAAATGGAAGAGTAAGTAACAAGACAAGAATATGAAAACGTATTATTAAAGACGTCTATAAAATCAAAAAGGAAAGATATATTATTTTT